TGCTCCCCTTCCTGAAGACGGCTGGGTCAGGCAGGGGCGGGCCAAAGAAGGGCACAGCATCACGGGCAGTGACAGAGACCTGCGGTGGGTGGGTAGGGTGGGGGGCGGTGACAGGGCACCCCGCTGCCCCCAGCACCCTATGGGGGTGGGGAAACTGAGGCACGGGGAGTACCTTGTAGAGGGTGCCCTGGGAGCCTCCCTGCTCCAGCTGCACCACCACGAAGGCGTGGAGGAAGTTGGAGGCAATCATGTCGGGGACGAAGGGGGTGTTCTCATCCTGGAAGACGATGGCCACAATGTCGTTGCCAATGTGACGCTTCCGCTGCAGCTGTGGAGACAGGGGGACACACAGGGGGACATGGGGCAGTCACACCGGGGGGGCAAAGGCAGAGGCAGACCCTGTGCTCTGTAGGTGCCCCCCAACACCCATGGGTGCCCCTGGAGCACCTGCACCCCATGAACACTCCCCTCAAGCACTCAGGGGTGCTCTGTTAGTCCTTGCACCCCAAAGATACCCCCCAGTACGCGCAGGTTCTCTGCCAGACCCCTGCATCCCATAAATGCCCTCCAGCACCCATGGGTGCTCTGACAGCCCCCTGCATCCCATAGAGGCCCCCCCAGAACCCATAGGGTGTAGTGCTAGCCCTTGTGTCCCATAGATGCTCCCCAGCACCCATGGGTGCCTCTGGAGCTTTTGCAGCCTGTAGACACCTCCCCAGTGCCCATGGGTGCCCCAGGAGCCCCTGCACCTCATGAACACCCCCCTCCAAGCACCCAGGGGTGCTCTGGAAGCACTGGCACCCCATAGATGCCCTCCAGCACCCATAAGTGCCCCACCATCCCTTGCACCCCATGAGGGTGCCCCGGGACCTCCCTACACTCCCCATTCCCCAAGTACCCATGTGTTCCCCTCAACCCTTGCCCCCACCTTCCCCTGAAAACAATAGCATTCATGGGTGCCCCACCTGCTGGGCATCCCCCTCGGTGTAGGGCAACTTGGTGGAGACATGGAACATGATCTCCTTGTCGCGGAAGTGGCAGTAGACTGACTCGCTGCCCGTCTGCCCGTGGGTCACATCCAGCCCCCCCCGAAATCTGGGTGTAAAAGGGGGGACAGGCACCCTGAACCTGGGGTCGGGGTGGAAGTTGGGTGGGGAGCACCCCAGGGTGCCCCCCACCCATGGGTGCCCATGCTCCCTCCCCCCCAGCACCCTGTTCACCTTGGGGTAGAGCACGGGGTAGAAGCGATCCACGTTGACATCCTCGCACACCAGCTGTGGGAAGGACGGGTGATGCAACGGGTGGCCGGGGGTGGGGGGGACACCCATGCGTGCTGCCGGAGGTGTTGCACCCACCTTGGCCATCTGCACCACGTTGGGGAACTCGGCCAGGCAGGAGATGGGCACCACATCATGCAGGGTGCGGGTGCGGGTGCTGCGGGGTGAGGCAGGGGTCAGGGTGGCCCCCTACCCCCAGCCAGCACCCATGGGTGCCCTCAGCACCCTGCTCACCGCAGCAGCAGGTGGAGGTGCTCCTGCTCGTCGTACTTGAGGGAGAAGACAAGGTGGCCCAGTGCTGGGTCCAGGGAGTAGTAGTTGAAGTGCTCCTGCGAGGAGGGGGCCAAGCACCCATGACCACGCCAATGAGTGCTCTTGCTGGCAGGCATCCATGCCATGAGGCACCCATCCACATTTGTAGAGTCCGCATGCCCATGGATACCCATGTCCACAAGCACCCATGCCATGAGCACCCATAACCCTCAGCACCCATCTCCATGGGGCACCCGTGTCCATGAGCACACACACCCACAGATATCACCACCTATGGAGCACCTACCCACATGCAATGAAACACCCATACCCATGAACACCCATGCCACAATTCACCCAGGTTCCTGAGCACCCATATCCATGGGGCACCCATGCCCATAGATACTCACACCCATGAGGCACCCATGTCCATGAGCACCCATACCCATGAGCACCCATACATGTTTAGGGGGTCACCATGCCCATGTCCACTCAGACCCACCTTGAGCACCCACAGGGCCTCACCTTGCCCAAGAAGTGCTTGCGGTAGATCTTGGCCATGTGGTTGCCCTCAAGCCTTGCCCGGGTGCTGGGTGCCGGGGTGGGGGGGGACTCAGGTGCCCCGCTCAGCTGGTGGTTGGTGCCCTCGATCCAGTAACCCCCAAATTGCGGCAGAAGGATGAGGGGGAACGGCCCCTCCCGGCCCAGCACCTGCACCCACAACTGAGGTTGGTGCTCTGGCTACCACCCAACCACTCACCCAGCCGCTTGCCTGCCCTTGCACCCATCTCTGGAGGGGAGTGGGTGCTCTACCTCATGCACGCTGGGGTAGGGGATGTAGTCCTCCTCTGTCTGCAAGACAACAGGGTGGGTGAAGGCCATGATAGCACCCATGGGTGCTGGGGTGGGTGAAGGCCGTGCTGGCACCCATGGGTGCTGGTTGGGTGCCCCCAACCCAGAGACACCTACCTTGAGCGGTGGGGGGATGGCGTGGCGCTGCTGGGCCATCCTGCTACCCTGCAAGAGACAAGGGTTTCTGGGTGCCCATCACCCCACCTTGGGACAGGCACCCTTGGGAGGGGAGCACCCACAGGGGTTTACCTCCAGGTGGGGTGGCTGAGGGGGTGGCGGTGCCGGCTGGAGGTAGGTCTAGGAGGTGCGGGGGGGTCCAAGGGGGTCCATGGCACTTCCTGGGGGAGAGGAGAGCTCCCGCACAGCCCTTTGCCATGCCTGGCCGCTCAGGCGGCAGCGTTCCCCCTGAAGCCTACTGACGGCAGCAAGCCAAGTGCCACCGTGGGGGCTGCCAGCAGC